AGCCGGCGGGGGCCAAGCCCAGGTGCCCCTTCTCGGACATTTTCAACACCAGCGAGAACTCGATGGAGAAGCACATCAACACTTTTCTGCAGAACGTGCAGATTCTGCTCGAGGCCGCCAGCTACCTGGAGCAGATCGAGAAAGAAAACAAAAGTAAGTTTGGGGGCCCCGGCTCCTCCTCCGCTCCCTGCTCTTTCTTTCTCGCCCACTTGGGCGACCCCTGTCGCCTGCTCGGCCCGCGCCCCTCCTCCCCAACACACACATCAACCCTCGGCAGTAAAGCCGGTGACACCGGAGAAAGGACACGCACGCACGCACAAAGCTGCTAAAGATGTAACAAAGACTAGTGAGGGGGAGAGGGGGGCCTGTCCTGCGTTGGTCTGTCCGTCTCCGGCAGGCTGCGAGGACAGCCCCGTAGCGGAGCGGGGGAGTGTTGTTGTTTGCTGACAACTGAGCCGAAAGCTCATCTCTTCGAGGTCGCCTTCCCCCCACCCCCCCACCTCCTCGGAGCCTTCTTGGGCAGACAAGTGTTGTTTTTCTGTTGCTCGTTCCTGGGTTGGGTGGGGATTAGAAGCCGAAAGTTGGAAACCGTAACAAGCTCAGGGGTTCCAGAAAAAAAACGCACAGACACGCTAAAACAATAACAACCACCACCACCACCACTGCCACCAGGCAGCTACCCACGGCGTGGGCTCGGGCTCTGGCTCTCCCTTCTGTCTACTTCGGGTTTTCCTCCCCACTCGCAGGAGGACTGAGCTCAGGCCGTCAGGTCCACGGACACAGCCCCCCCCCCCGCCTCCGTTGCCCTGGGGTGCCACTGCCCCCAGCCCCCAAAGAAACAGGCCAGCGGGGCCAGACAGCACCAGCAGATCGCCGCGGACCCGCTGTCCTGCGCTGGGGAAACTTGGCGAGGGAGACGTGGCTAGGAGGAAACTTTGAAATCTCACAGAAACAATAGTTGGGGAAGAAGGTGTGGGCTGTTGTGTGCGATTTCTTTATTTTTCGGGAGAGAACTCCCGAGTGAGCGCGCAGAGCGAGCAAGGCAAACCCCTTCCAGGGTCGATTTCTACTGTCCCCCGACCCCCAGATTCAGGTGGAGAGTGTAGCGGTGTGTTGCGGGGGGGGGGTGCTGAGAACTCCACCCAGGCCTGGCTTCCTTTTTGTATTTGTTTGTTTCATTTTTGTCACTGCCAGCGGGTCCCCAGCTCTCCCCAGGCAGTAGACTCACAGCCCTTACGGGGGCACGCGTGTGCGGCATCTCCAACACCGTCCTCAGAATAATAGCTAGGAAAAGGAAGAAGGGGCCAAGACAGACAGAACGACAGACAGAAGGAAACTGGGATGTTTAATCTGTCCGAACAAGTAGGATGATCAATGAGACATGAGAGAGCGAGCAAGAGAGCAAGCAAGAGAGAGAAATCCGATTGCAACGTGTCAGATCTTGCACCCCCCCCCAGCCCAACACAACAACAACAACCCTCAAATACAAAAACATCATCGCTGACCGACACTCCAGGCCTTCAGGGGTATAGTAACGGTGTGATGGCAGTGCATTTGTGCAGACGTTGTAAGACCAAAACAAGGATTTTTGTGTTGGGAGGTCGGTGGTGCGTTCTTTTCTTTCTCTTCTCGCCTGTTTTCTCGGAATGCTTGGGTTGCGAGAGAGGTGCATCGCAGGCTGTGTAACCGAGTCGCTGGGAGATTATTAAGGGTGTGTGTGTGTGTGTGTGTGTGTGTGTGTGTGTGGGGGGGTGTGGGGGGTGCATTCATCTGGAGGATAGTTTCTGAAAAGCGAGAGCTGATGGGGAGCTGGGTGAAGACGTGGTTTTGTTTGGTGTGTTTGCTTTTGTTGCAGGGGGAGGGGCGCGATTTCTTTAGCCGTCCCCTCCCGGGTTCCCGGTCTCTGGAGTCTGTCCCGTGGCGCCGGCCCTGACTGGGAGTGCACCCAAAGAGGGCACCTTGGCAGTGTGTAGCGAACCTGGCTTGCCCCCCAACATACCCCAGCGAGGCGTAATGAGGAGGCGGCCAGAGCTTCCTCAGCGTCCCGCGCCCCCCCCTTTCGCACCCGCAGACAATCGGAGACCTCCCTCCGCCCCACCCCACCCCCCCGCCGCCCTCGCCGCCGCCACCTCCTTGTTTACCCGGTGCCGGGGCTCCGGCGTGGCCACCAGTCACGTAAGCAGAAAGCCGGGCGCGCAGGGCCGGGCTGCCCGGTGTGGGGAGGGCCCGCGGCGGTCGAGCGGGGCGCTAGAGGCCGGTGAAGCCAAGGGGCTTTCTCCCGGCCCCTCTCCCGAAGCACCAGCGCTGCAAACCTGTAAGCCCCCCAGAGGGGCTCGGGAGCCTTAGCGGCCCAGTCAAAGTCAACTTCGTGTACGTAATCAGCCCCTCGGCCCCGCAGCCCCCCTCCTTCGGCAGGCTCCCCAAGGGAGTATTTTTAGCTCTCTCGGCTCTTTTCGCCACCGCTGTTTGGCTGTAAATGACGTGATGCCAACGGCCCCCAGATTTCCCCGAGAGCGTGGGGCGCTGCACCGTGTTGGGCTCCGCTGCAGGGGCCCGGCTCCAGGCCCTCGCCCGCTCCCCAACAGCTCACGGAGACGGGGGGGGGTGATGTCCAGCAAACTCCAGCGACCACCCGCAGGACCCTCTATTACCCCCGCGGCAAACTGGAGCTGCCCACGGGGGCCACTTATCCTCCCTCCCCACTCTCCCCTGGCCCCCAGGTCTCGGTTTCCCGGTACGGAAAACGGCGGGCCCTACATCTATCTCGTTTTATTGGGGGCGCTTCTTTGCGCTGGCGGCGCTCGCCGTTGTTTTCTGCTGGCTGCACACAATGCCCGCGCGTCACGGCGGTCCGCGTGTGCACAGCAATAACGCGAGTCGGGGGGCGGGTCGTGCGTGCGCCGGGCTCGGGCACTGCGGGTCGCTCCGCGCGCGCGGGGCTTGTTTTGCTCCAGAGCTCTGCTTTCCGAAACGCTTACATCATTCAGTTGTTGGGGGAGGGAGAGGGATCTAGGCGTTCCGATAGGATTCCAGCAATTCCCAGGTCCCTAGTTTTTTGGAAGGAAGCAAGGACCCTAGCTCTTTAGTTAGTAAGATGGTGTGGGGGGTGCTCAGGTTTTGTTTGTTGTGCATCTTCTTTATAGGTCACTACTGCAAAGGGCATTGCTGGCCGGCTCAGGTGCACAACCTCTCCGCCTTCATTTCAGCGAGTTCCCCTGTAATCACTTGATCTCAGTTTCTCCGCCTCCTCCTCCTCCCCCTCCCAGCTCGAGACACATGGTTTCCACATGGAGACAAACTTCTTTCCTCCGACTGGACTTGACCTAGCTGCGTCGTCCAGCCAATCCGCAGCCTCACTCTCGTATGACGTCACGCGTTGCTGAGGCCCGAGACTGGGGGGCGGGGCCAGGATGCAGGCCAGGAAATCTCTGGGAGCTGTAGTGCAGCCAGCTGGTCCAGTCGCTTCTTAAAGGGACGCTTTTCTCCCCAGAGACTAATGTTGGCCCTTCCATTTCGGGTTCTGTGAGACCTTCCGAGATGCACCGAGAGCCCCCGGTCATGAGTTCACAAGTTCCGTTTTTACTGTTTGCAAAGTAGTCACTTGGCAGGAACTTGCCTTATTTTCCATTGTAGCCAGAACTGCTTTTCATTGCCTCCTTGAGGTTTCCTTACTAGGAGTGTTCACCAAGCTGTGGCCACAGCGCTGAACTATTTCCAGTAGATAGGGTGAGTTTTCTTGGGAAAGGGGTTCAAATTGAGTTACTCAGTGTTGACCATCCTCGGGATTTCCTAGGAAATGCAGGTACATTCTCCTCAAATGCCAAACTGATATGAATACTTAGGAGTCTCCAGTTGAAGGCCTCCAGAAATATTAGTCATGAAGGCTGTGACCCTGTTATCACAAATTCAGAACGTGTATGTAAGTAAACATACCTATGGCATCATCACCTATCTGCTTGTGGAATCCAGTGGAAGGGAGGCAATTAAGGACTAATAATTAGAAACAAGATTTAGTTCCTGCTTTGGAAAAGGTTAAAACTAAAAAGGAAGAAGAGGTTTACAAAAGGGATGTTACATGCAAAAAAGCTGTTTCATAGCTATGAGAGCAGATACAGTCTGGAGAAGAGAAACTAGCTTCCCAGTGTCTGGGGACAGTGGCTTTGGAGGCAACACTTAAGATAGGGAAGGATGTTTAGAATGGGAGCAGAAAGCCCAAGGTTGTGTGGCTCTCTGGAGTGGATTACCTGAGTTTGGGGGTGGAGTGTTAGGAAGGGCACAGATAGGCTACACAGCAGCCTCTTCCTCCTCTTGGAGGAAGCTGCTGTTGGGAGTTGCCACTGTGTGGTGTCACTTGGCCCCACCCTGCCTTCCTGACTTAATCTCCTCTGCCCAACCATGAAACCTCTGCTCCTGTCCAGCAGGTCCACCAGCAAGCAGACTTCACAGTCATGCCTCTGTGCTTGACTCAGACTCCTCCTTCTGTTTAGAATACCCTCCTGCTCTCACTCCCCTGGGTTTTCTATCTCATACCCTCCCTTTGAAACTTAGGTCAGTTCCCACCTGCTCCATGAGGCCTCCTTGCTATTTCATCCCACTTGGCTCTATTTCTTGCATCAGAGAGATGGGAGAGTGAAAGCTTTGCCGTCATATTGAGCAGGAACCTAGATTTCTACTCTGCTACTTACTGGCTGTGTGACCTTGGACACAAGTTACTTAGCCTCTCTGAGTTTCCATTTGTAAAACGGACATAATAATAGCACCTCATCACTGCTCAACAACTAAAGGAAGCACCGTTTTTAGACATTTAAAAGAGTACCTGAAATATAATAGGTGCTGAATAAATAGTAACTTCTCTGAGCTTTGGCAGCCATTACCATGTAATTCTCTACTTGCTTCCTGTGCGTTGGCTTTATCCTCACAGGAAGATTATTAGTATCTTAAGGGAAAAGATCAACTACCATATTTCAGTATATGTCACCTGTTATATATAGTACGACACCGGGCATACAAGTAGACACTTGATATAAATTTCTTGATTGGTTGGATTTGTCCTTTCCTGGCTATGGCATGGTGATCAGGTTAGAAGGCCAGGGAACATAACAGATTTTCTGAAGACTCGGAGAAGAGTTGGAAATACTGATCTCTGACTGCTA